AAAAAAAAAGAAGGGCAGGGAGGCAGCGCTCCGGGTCCTTCTCCGTCACCTCTGCGGAACCCTGGGTCACCCCCATTCCTGTACTGTGAAGGCATCACGGTTGGTTCCCCAGACAACTGGGACAGGTACCGGACAGCAGTGCCGTCCTGGGGACATGCAAGGGACACCCCAGCCGCCTCTGCCCCGCAGGACTGTGCTCAGCTGCCCCAGCGCCCACCCATACAGGTGTGAGCCTGCTGCCGACCTGGCAACAGCTGCCTGAGAACAGGTGGGCACTCACCCTCCTCCTCCTCCATCCCACTCTGGAGAGCTCTTGGCATGTAGAGCCCCTTGCAGTCCTGAGCGTCTGCTTTCAGCAGAGCCTTGGTGACCCGGGCCGCTGCCCGCCCTGTCCGCTCAGAGACTTCACGCTCCAAGTCTGTCCTCAGGCTGGCCTTGAATGCACCTTGTAGCCCAGCCTGGTCTCCAAGTCACAGCGACCCTCTTGCCTCAGCTTCCTGAGTGCTGGAACTGCAGCAAGCCTACCAAGTCCTGCTGCACTGTGCGCTTCTACGCGCCCAGAGAAAGGAGAGGGGCTCTTGAGGAAGCATCAGTCCGTCCTGCCTCCACCTCCTTTACCTTGCTGTGTGCCAACAGTGAAACCGCGGGCGGCCTCACCTGCTCAGGGTAAAGGCCAGGAGGCTGCGGCTCACACGCGCCTGTGGTGGCTCCTCTGATTTCATCTCAGAGCAACCTTCTGAATTTTGTAAGGAATACAATAGGGCAAATGGAAGAGTCCCTGGGCAACAAGCCCTCCTGTGTGCCCTTCCAGGGAGGCAGCCTGAGGGGCTACAGTGATGCCAGCCACAGGGACCTGCGGTGCCGGCCTGGGTGCACAGTGCCCACACAGGACCTGTGGGGCTTCCACAGGGAGCAGGCACAGCAGAGAATGCGAGCACACAGCCCCCTTCACAACAATTCACATTTTGTTCCGCACTTTGCAGTTTGCACACCATTTCTTCTTCCATAGTCAGTAGTAGCTTGAACTTGGGCAGAACAGAAGTGTCCCCATACCTGTCCCCTCTTAGGATGATGAGGAAGCCACTCTTCCTGACTGCTGGCTCATGTAAGGAAAGCACAGAAAACCAGGTGTGGTGGTACACGCCTGTCACCCCAAGACTCAGGAAGTTGGGGCAGGAAGATCTTGGAGAGTCTGAGGATAGCCTGAACCACACAGCAAGACCCTGTCCCAAAAACCAAAGCAAGCAAACAAAAGAAGAACCAAAAATGAAACCCCACAAACCAAAAAAGCAACATTTATTTCTTGCTGTACATTCATGTTTTCTAGGAATAATTTTTAGTATTATTTTTACTTAAGAGAACAAATAAATTTCAAGTTAATTTTTAAATTTCAAGTTAATTTTAAAATATATATATTAAGTACATTTATTAATTCATGAACAATTCCATGTGCTATCTTTGATGATAAACTTCATTTTGGCATATGGCACATCTGTCCTTTTGGTCTTAAAATTAAGAAAAACACATTACACCTGAAATTCTACTCTTTTTTTTTTGCAGAACCGGGGATTGAACTCAGACTCTTGCGCTCGCCAGAGAAGCGCTTATTCTACTGAGCCATCTCCCTGGCCCCTGAAACTCTACTCTAAATGATTAAAACCACAGTCCTGATAGCAACAGATTTCAAGCAGTTAGCAAAACTGAAATGTCCTATGGTGACTGGTTATTTGTAATCAAAATAAAACAGAATTAACATTCAACAGGAAAGAACAGTCAACATCAACGGTTTAAAATCGATCTTAAGAGCAAGTTATTTTGACAATCAGTTTCACTCCTTTCTTTTGAGAGAGGGTCTCATCGTGTAGTCCAGGCTGGGCTTGATTGAACCCACTGCATAGCCCAGGCTGGCCTTGAACTCGAGACCCTCCTGCCTCAGCCCCCACGCACTGGGCTGACAGGTGTGTGCCCCATGCCCGCTAGGCCCTTTTCCACAGGGGTGCAAGGCTGGGTGCACCTGTGCCCAGAGGCGCTGCTGCTTGCGCACTCTCCTCACCACTTCTCAACGGGCCTCCTTATCTGTTGGCACAACGATTTCATGGAGAGTTCAGCTTTGGAGTCAACCCAAGCAGCCATTTTTCCCACTAGAAGGAAACATGACTTTCAAATTCCTGCTAATACAAAAACAAAAACTAACTGCCATGATCAACACAGAAACACACACTTCACACGAACACCTGAAAAATCAAAAGTGTGCAGAAGGGAGCGAGAACATAGCAGAAGTTGCTACCAATTGTGCTGTTGGAAGATCACACACACACACACACACACACACACACACACACACACTAAAAATCTTAGAAACCCTGCTTATTGTTCAGATCATTTTTGGTTCTGCACTTAGAAATGGAGTCAGGCACGGGCATACCCGTCATCCCAGCACTCAGGGGGCTGAGGCAAGAGGATCACCGTGAGTCTGAGGCTAGCCAGGGCTGGATAGTAAGTTCAAGGCCAGCCTGAACTACAAAGATGAGATACTGCCTTAAGGAAAAAAAAAAAAAGAAAGAAAGCTTTTAAATTTTAAAGAGGACAACTATGACACCGCCACACTCTGCATGATCCCACACCTGCCGACAGGATCAGCTGAGGCCGGGCTCCCTCCTGAGACTCTGTTTTGGTTTTCTGCCTCCAGGGGCTCAGGGACGGAGCCTGGGCCTGAGCTTGTATCCAATAAGTGGGGGGTGGGGGGCGTGCATGGACTCATCCCTGCCTGGTCTCCTCCTTCGTCCACAGCAGGAAGGAGCCATGCTCCGTGCAGCCTTGTGGGTGCCATTGTTCTAGAACTTTCCAGGTGAGGTTCCCTGACAGGCCACGGGATCACAGTCCATGCTATGGCTCATGTTGTGTCCACGGGAGAACAGCCACGGGCTTCTAGGAGCCAGGCCAGCCTTCAGATGACAAGTGGCCCTGAGAGCTACAAGGCAGCCCTGCAGCTCTGGGATAGGACCCAGAGTGACTGTACAGCAGGAGGATGAGTCACTGTGGCTCTCAGCTTGGATGCTGTGGCCTCGACCGAGTGGCCTCTCTGCTCTGGGTCCTGGGACAGGGGACATCACAGCAGGGAATGCAGACAGGAACTGGCATCTCCACCGAGGTGTCCATTTCTCTCATCTTGATAAACGAAGACCTGAGACAGAGGACATCTAAGGCTCATTTTTAAGAGATGCCATAAGCCGGGCTTGGGGCCACACTCCCATCATGCCAGGAATCAGAAGGGTGAGGCAGGAGAAGCTTTGTAAGTGTGAAACCAGCCTGGGCTACTTAGTAAGGCCTGTCACAAGCATGTCTTCTGCGTGGCCTCCTCCATCCCAGGTCATCTCCTCTGCAGGACAAGGAGGCGATAATCTCGGCTCCCCAGGTATTCAAGGACAAATGACGTGAGGTGCAAGGACAGCGCAGGCACAGCGCGGGCCGGCCTGCACCTGGAGCCTGGGGCTTCTGTGCCGGCAGCCAGAGGACGGACAGCAGTTCTGAGCTTGCTCAGGTGCTGCCGTGTCTGCCTCTGGAAAATCTGGCTGATGAACTGTGCCTCAGGAGGTTGAGACACGCGTGGAGGAGGTCTGGTTCCCGGACACAGTGCGCAGGTGAGAGGACCGGAGACAGCAGCGTCACCCGAGCGTGGCCCACCCTCCCCATCCGTACTCTCACCTGCTTTTCCCCTGCCTTCCTTTAGAGACAAGGTCTCACTATGGACACCAGGATGGCCTCCAACTCACAGCGATTCTCCTGTCTCAATCTCCAAGAGCTGGGATGACAGGCAGACCAACACTCTGTGGTGACATGTCACAAATAAGTGGCCAAGGAGCAGCACATGTATTTTATTTCATGAGTGCATAAGAGAGTCGCGATGGTGCAGAATGCCTCATATGACGGGAAGAGCCCAGCGTGCCTGACTCCTGAATTGGCAGAGATTCCCGCGGCTTGAGACCCCAAGTGGGCTCATCACAGCGATGACAGAGAGCTTAAGGCAAAAGCTTCTCCCTACAACACAGCCCCCAGTGACGCTCTCAGAATCAGTGACATCAAAGTTCAGGCAAAGAAGGTAATTTAGGGTTCCAAGTTTCCGCCCATGAGCTGGTGGGGATGCTTCTGCGCTTCTCACGCATGTCCATGGATGACTTTTTTCACAGCCAGCTGATTTGGAACTAATTCTGGGTGCTGCGGGGACCAGCCATAGAGGAGGCGATGTCCGCTCAGGAAGGGAGGGCAAAGGCTTGCGTGCAGATCTGCCCTCTGCGGGGACAGAGCAAGGCTTCGCGTTTCCCCTGGCACCATCACTGCGCCCCAGGGAGGGAAACGCTGATGCTACAGCACAGGCGGAGAATGTCCCGCTCCTCCGTGGCTTCCAAGCACTGGAGATCAGTGGCTTTCCGCAAAGCTGGCTAATGGGCCTGCCCATCTGGGTCGCTTTCAGTTCAAAGCTTGGTGAGATCTAGACTCTGCACAAAATGGCTCCAGGATGATTTTGGTGAAAGCACAATTGTTCTTCTGAGGTGGGTGTCTGTTATCCAGCCTGGCTTCGAACCCCTGAGCTCAAGTGACCCTCCTACCCCAGCCTCCCGAGAGGCTCGGACTCCAAGTGCACCTGGCCCGAAAGTAAGCTTAAGGCCTAAACATCTACTGTAATGACTCCTAAGAGGGGACTTTTGTGTGCTGCTATTTGAGTCAAGAAGCATTTCATCAACTTTCTGCAAACCAAGATTAAAAAAACAATGAATTAGCAGAAGTAGGAGTCTAGTAAGGCAACGCTGTCCTGAAGAAAAGTACTTTCCAAATGTTTCCTACTCTGACTTCCCCTCTCTTTTTCTTCCTTACTTATTTTTGAGTCTGGGTCTTACCAGGCTCAGGCTCACCCTGAACTCTCCAGAGCCTCTGCCTCAGCCTCCCAAGAGCAGAGGACCCGGGTGTGCCACCTCGCCCAGCTCATTTACTATTATTATTTGTTTAACAGTGCTCCCTGACTCTTCCTCATTTGCAGTGTAGGAAACTCGGCCTAAGATGAGCGTCAGCAGAGGCAGGCGGCCTGTGTGGGCCCCTGGGGCGCGGACGTGTCATCGGCTGGCCGCCGAGCCTTAGGCCTCCAGCTCCTCCATGACCTCCATGACGACGGTGCGTGGGCCCGTCAGGATGAGGCTGCTCACTGTGCGGTAGTCCACGTGCAGCACGTTGAGCCCATTCACGGACACCACGAACTGGCGCACCTGTGGCAACGAAAACAGAGGCTGTGGCGACACGGAGCACCACGACTGCATGGGGACATCAGTTTTGTTCTTTTCTGTTCCGTTTTGAAATAGGGCCTTGCTACATAGCCCAGGCCAGCCTCGAACTCACAGAGATTCTCCTGCCTCAGCCTCTAAGTGTTAGGATGGTAGGCGTGCCCACCACCCCTGGCTATTTTGTTTCTTGTGTTTGTGGCATGGGGCACCAACACTGGGGAGCACCAAGCTACTTCCTCATCCCTTTTTATCTTGTATCAGGGTCTTGCTAGCTTGCCCCAGCTGGCCTTGATCTCACAATCCTCCTGCTTCAGCCTCCCAAATAGGATTACAGGTGTGTACCACCCTCACCTGGCTAGATAACTTCATTCTTTTTTTTTTTTAATTTTATTTATGTGTGTGTGTGTGTGTGTGTGTGTGTGTGACCAGCTCAGCCCACCAGGGGGCGGGGCTGGCTGGCATGTGGTGCTGGGGGATTGAACCGCAGTCCCTGTGCTTTGCTAAGCTTGTTCTAAGTAGGTGCTTTAGACCACTGAGCCATCTCACCAGCTCCAAATTCATTCTTAAAATATCTAGCCAAACCCAGGTTCCACCTCAAGTTCAATAACATCCAGAAAGCCACAATGTATTCGAAAGACGGCATAGTAGCAGAAGAACTAGTCAGTTCTGTTCTGTCCTAGGAGACAGGCCCTCACTGTGTAGCCCAGGCTGGCCTTGAACTCATGTGTAGCCCAGGCTGGCCTGGAATTCACAGCAATCTTCCTGCCTCAGCATCCCAGCTACTAGGATTACACATGTGTGACAAAAGCACTTATATCAGTGTTCCACAAGATGGGCTTAAATTCCAACTCAGAATGTATTAGGCTAAAAGAAAAAAAAAAAAAAGAATGTATTAGGCTAAACTAGGGCATGCATTTATTTATTTAAATATAGGGTCTCACTAACATGGCACAGGTTGGCCACAAACTCTCGGCAATCCTCCTGCCTCAGCATCCACAGTGCTGGGATCACAGGTGTACACAGCCACTCCCGGAGAGGTTGCTTTTCTATGTCACTAAGCATCCTCCAAATGCATAAGTTTAGACACTCATTTCCAACCTTTTCCTTAAAGAAAAAAAAAAAAAGAAAAGAAAAGAAAGAATCTCTTTGAAATAGTGGACTATATCACAGTTTTATTTTTAGAGCCAGGCTGCCGGGAAGACGTCATCGCAGCCCCAGCAACTGCTGCACTCCCAGCAGTGCCAACATCCCGTTGCTAAAAATGCACAGCGCGACCTGGCACGGCAGGTGTTTCTGGGAGGTGGCTTTGGGTAGGACACACTTCAGTGAGCACCCAGGGCACAGGAAAATCGACCCGCAACCACAGGAAGCGCCTGCCGGAGCAGACGACTGCTTAGGAATATTCTTTCCCCCTCCCTCTCCCCCGCCCCCTGGGGTGGGCATGAGCATTCAGGCCATGCGCAGGGCTGCCCTCCTGCTTAGAATCTGTATTTACTGTATCTGGGATTGGAGACTAGGCTATGCACTAGCTTTTCTTTTCATTGCTGTGACAAAAGTGCTGGACAGGTTTCAATGAGCTAGCTCAGCAGACTAAAGCACTGCTTAGGCAAGCACAGGGACCAAGGCTCGATCCTGGGCACCACATGCTGCGCCATGGACCAGGACCATGGACCAGGCACCACATGCTGCGCCAGCCCCGCCCTCAGGGCAGGCTGAGCCAACCCTAGGCTGCAGTTGCCTGACGCCCTGAGTTCTGAGAAAGGACAAGTAGGAGCACAGAGTGACTTGGGGAGACAGGTGGCTGAGTCCCAGAGGGGGCCGAGCCAGCCACATCCCCCACCACCTCTGCTTCTTTCCCTATGCTGGCCCTGGATGTGTATGCTGACCCTGGGCCTGTCTCTGTTGTCCTTCCTGCTCCTGAACAAGAAAGGATTGAACAGAATCACCCAGAAGATTACAGAAAATGTTTAGTTAGAGCACATTTTAAAGACAGAATTAAAAGAAGAAGACAGACATAAACAGCTGGGCGTGGTGGCCCACAGCTGCCATCCCAGGCCTTGGAGGCTCAGGCAGGTGGGTTATCAGGAGTCGGAGGCCAGCCTGGACTACGTGGCAAGACCCTGTCTCAAAAAGCAAAACACAAACATAAGCAGGCACAGAAAATTATCAGGCAGGACAAGGGAGATAGCTCAATAGAATAAGCACTTGCCTGGCAAGCGCAGGGTCCTGAGTTCAATTCCCAGTATTGGAAAAAAAAAGAATCAGTCAGAGGGAGTCCTGATCGGTCAGGGGAGTCCAACGATACAGAAAGCAGAAATGTGCTGCCAGGTGGGAAGCTGCGAATACGATTCTTCCCACAGACACAGACGGCCCCAGCCCTGGCCAGAAAGCCCACCTCCGTCCCTCTGTATGTCTCATGCCTGAGAGCACACCAAGTAGTGACACAACCCTTCCTCTCTTGGGGTCTTTAGGGTGTGACAACGCATGTTCACGGGGCCACAGGGCTTGAATGATTCCCACAGCTCCAGGTAAACGCCACGGATCACACTTACTAACAGTGTTCCTTGTTTGACGTTGTTTGGCTCTTACAGCCAAAGCTTGCTTGCAGACATCAGAGCTACTGAGGGCAGTGATGTGTGAGACGCCTGTGGGTGCAACTAGGATCACAGATAACAAGCTGTCACCCACTCACAGCCCTGAACACAAACCTGCTGCCACCCCAGCCCACATGTGAGTGACTTCGGTCACGTGGCAAAGCCACACCGTGGCCACAGCCTCCGCCAGCCAGGACACCAGAAAGCAGATGCCGAGCATCAGCAGAGCAGAGCATGACATGCCCAGGAGCACCTGAGGCGCCTGACATTCAGAACCCAGGAGGAACAACCCAGGAGCGTGTCCCGATTGTGCCCACCTCCTCTCCCCTGGGTCCACATCAGAGCATTTCCTAGCTCGACCAGAGCAGCAAGGGACTGGGCACGCCCTGGGGAGAGTGCAGTCTCTTCCCTTGCATGCACCTGTGCAAGCCTGGTGTCCTGACCATCCACCCCTCGGTCTGTCTGGGCCACCGTAGTAAATACCGTAGCACAGACGGGCAGCTCTCAGGCAGCACACGCTTACTGCTCTCATCTCAGCTCTTCTCATTCATTCAGAGACAGGATCTCACTGGGTAGCCCAGGCTGGCCTGGAACACTTGGTGACCCTCCTGCCTCAGCCTCCCAAGTGCTGTTGTTCCCCTGTTTCTTGAAGTTGGGAAGTGTGAGGTCACAGTGTCATGTGAGGGTTGCTCCCTGGTTCCTCACAGATGGCAGCTTCTAGTGTCACTGCTCACAAGGACCTGCCCTGACCACACTGATCCCAGACAACCCCCTGCCTAGCACCATCACCATGGTTACAGTTCTGGCATCCAGGTGGAGTTGAGGGGAGGGGCTACCCCTGCATCTGGGCCACACACCAGTCCATGTCCCAGGCCACAGCCACAAGTCCACAAGGGCTTGACAGAGATGAGCAGTGGGAGGTTCTGAAGCCTTGGTCTTGGTGGGTGGAGGCCAGGCATGGGGGGGAATGACACAGCGTTGAAGCCACCACACTGGGGGCAGGCGCTCTCCACCCGCCCATGAAGCACGGCTTCCCCACAGCACAGACGAATCCACAGAAGTTTATCTCCAGAGACACTTTCGTTTCTCCTTCCTCCTTCCCTTGCGTGAATTTTCCCCCTAAGCCTCAATAAGAGGGAGGGCCAAGCCGCCCAGAGACATACTCGCTGTCCACCTGATAGGACCAGGAGAAATTTACTTCTTAGAACTTCTGTGGTTGAGACTGAAAACGTCAGCCCAAGTCTCATGTGTGGGGAGGGGTGACCTGGAATGGGGTACCTGCCCTGGCTGCTCTCCTCTCTCTCTGCTTCCTGGCTTTCGTGCTCAGCCCTTCCATCTGCTTCTGCCTTGGACCCTGACAACCACAAACTGAATCCTTGGAAACTGGGAGGTAAGATAACCCTGTCCTCCTTCAGCCTTGGGAGTCAAGAATTTTCCCAGCAAAAGAAGGTACATTCTACAGTGTTCACAGATTCAACCCATCAGGAAGAGACAAAACTTAAAAGTGGACCAGGTGTGGTAGAGCACACCTGTCATCCCAGCGCTTGGGAGGCTGAGGCAGGAGGATCACTAAACACTCAAGGCCAGCGGGGGCTACAGAATGAGTTCAAGGCCGGCCTGAAGTACATTGTGCAATTCTGTCTCCAAAACAAGAAAAAAGAAAAAGAAGATATATGTATACTTAACAAAAGGTCCCATATTCCATGTAGGAAAAGTCACAGAATTTAAGGGACAAATAGGCAAGGTGACAGTAACAGTGGAGACCGTTCTGTCCTCCTTTCCATCAAGAACAAGGAAGCCAGGCAGCGTCACCTATAAATACCCATGCAGAGCTGTGGCCAATTCCACACTGGGCTTGTACGGCATGCTGGGACTGTAGTGTGACCCGTGTGGAAGTTCACACTAATGGAGCCAGTTGCTCCCTGCGGTCTCCCGTGTGCTTGGCAGTGGAAGCCCCAGCAGTTCGCAGTGCGGGCCCTGAGGGTGAGAGCTCCGCATTTCACACCGCACATGATTCCTCCTCCCCGTCGGCCACTTTGCCATTCACTGGTGCCTGCTGTGAAGCAGTCCCTGCTCTGCCCCCTCTATAAACGGCAGGTCAGGCGTGTGGAGGGCATCGCACCTGGTGAACCGCTAAGCCTGCGTATGACCCTAGGGGACACCAAAGAAACCGGGCTTTTTGGGCCCTCTGCTCCCATCACCAAGGCCACAGTGTCCCAAGGAGGCAGATAGCACGTGGGAGGTCCAAGAGAGCAGACTCAGGTTCTGGCTTAGGCGACGCAGAGGGATGTCAGGTAACAGTGCCAGTCCCTACCATTTGAAAAAGAAAAATGACAAAGCAATTCTAAAGAGTGACTAAGAGAGAGCTGGCTCCATCTAGGGACACCCACAAGGGCAGAATGCTAGCGGCAAAGGCCGCAGAGGGCAGCCTGGCCTAGCCATAGGACCTGAGCGTGGAAAGTTGAGTGGCATGCGGTGGGGGGCTGGACTCCTTCTGTCCTTGGAACACAAATGGTCACTACGTTCACTGCGGGGACCCTGAGGGCAGGGTCATAGTGAACTGCAGCTAAGTTCTCCATTGTACTTTGACACAGACTGGCCAGAGAGCAGAGCACCATTCCTAGGGGATAAACACAGGTTCCCCCTCCAGAGTGATGACCAGTTGGTCACCTGCCTGTGGTGTCCCGCAGGACACACTGCACAGGGAGCCAAGAGGAGGGAAAGAAGCCCGTGCCGACAACTGACTCGGAGCAGCAGCAGCAGCGCACTGTAGCACGGGTGCACCACTGTCTCCAACAGGGAACCCGAGGTCCCCGTGCCCCGCTCCATGTCCAAGGCCACCACTGACGAGTTTCACGTCAGCCTTGTCCTTGGTCCTCTCTGTCCCCCATGACTCAGTCACATGGGACTGCTGTGCTGAGAAGGAGGGACGGAACGCAGAGGCCCAGCGCAGGTCACGGAGTAGGGGCGAAACCTTGTTTTCCTGGGGATTCTCTCTGGAGAAGTGGATCAGGCCCACGGAGCCCTGTGACTCACACTGAAGGTCACGTGGCCTTCCCACAGGCGGCTCCTGGTTGCCATGGGAACACTTCTGATGACTGCTTGCTGGAAGGACACTCCGCACTGGTACTTTCCCAAAGCTGTGAGAAGTATCCAGCCGCTGAAAAGCAGCCGAGGAAAATTATAACCAAGGCTTCTGTGGGATTTTCTACTACTACGGAGAAGGAATTGACCATCTGAAACCAACTTTCCCTCATACTCCCACACCGCTCCACACCAGCTTCCTCTGTGGACACAGGAAGTTCTGCCATAGCAGCCTGTGATGGAAGGGATCTCAACAGCGGGGGACACACTCTCAACATATGTGTCAGCTCCCAGAAGGTGCCACAAGGTTGACCTCTTCCCAGATCCCAAATTCTTTGCTCCATCAGCACCTTGCACCCAATTACCTGTTTGGCCTTAAATATTTAACACTCAAGATTCGGATACTTTTTCCCTAGATGACTCTACAAGTAAACAAATGGATTGACCAAACATTTTACATGATGGTTGTAGCACATCAAGGTTGGTCATCCGCCAACTGGTCAAGAGATAGCTTTGTCTTCACAAATGCCAGGCGTTTTCCTCAGGACTGCATCCCCAGGGACCACCGCTGGTGCAGTGACATCATCTCCCCAACAGGGATGCGTTGCTGACTCCCACAAGGTCCTCCCATTCCTCCTCCAGAACATGGTGCTTGGCTACGTGCGCGCACGCGCGTGTGAACATCAGACGCACCCAGAGTAAAGCGAAAGGGTTAGCAACAGGGCGCCCCCTTGGGTGGGGTGGATCCGACAAGCCCCCTTCCACTCCCTTAGCAGGTGCCTCTGAAGGAGCTGGTCACCCGCCCTCCTTTCAGTTGACCAGGACATTGCCATACTCAGTTAAAGGAGCAGCACAGCACCCTGAAGAGATACAACAAAACTGGCTGCCTCTGGCCAGGTGTAGTGGAGCACGTCTGTAATCCCAGCACTCAGGTGGCTGAGGCAGGAGGATGGCCTGGTGTTCAAGGCCAGCCTGGGCTACACAGTGAGATCCTGTCTCAAAAGACTAAATAAAGAAATAAAAAGATTAAAGGCTCCTCCTCTGCGTCTATGACCAGGGTCTGAGTCACACTGAACGTCTCCCTTGTGGCCAGCTCACAGCTGCAATGTGAGCTTCAGAAATGAAACCACCACACTG